AAAGCTTGCACCAGGGTGTATGCACCCTGGTGAGCATGCACAAGGGCACACGCACCCTGCCAAGCACGCACCAGGGCGTATGAACCCCGGTGAGCATACACGAGGGCACACGCACCCCAGAAAGTGTGCACCCCATGCACCTTGCATCATGGAGATCATGCACCAAGGTGCATGGACCCCAGGAAGCATGCACCCCAGGGTGCGTGCACCCCAGGAAGCGTGCATTAAGGTGCATGGGCGCCTAGCAGCGTGCACAGGTAGCGTGCACCCCCGAGAGCATGCAGCGAGGTGCATGGACCACAGCAGCGTGCAAGCACCCCAGGAAGGGTGGTGCACCAAGGTGCATGGGCGCCTAGCAGCGTGCACGCATAGCATGCACCCCCAAGAGCATGCAGCGAGGTGCATGGACCACAGCAGCGTGCCCGGGCAGGGTGCACCGCAGGGACGTGCCCCCGGGGAGGCACAGCCAGGAGGGGACACGGCAGCACAAACCAGACGGGTTGCAGGGGACATGGTGCCCAAGGAGTGCTGGGGTGTTGCAAAAAATTCAGAGCCTGCCAAGAGAGGAGCTGCCCACCTGCAAAAATCCACCTCTGCTTGGGCCGGGGAGAGTTTTGGGGAAAGCCACCCAGAAAAAAGCCACGCAGGAGCCATGGGAAGCTCAGGCAGGGCTGTCGTGTCCCCCCTGCCCCATCCCCATCCTCATGGGTGCCTGTGCCACTCACCCGGCTGTCGGCGCTGGGCGTCATCGTGTCGGTCATCCACGACCCAAAGCGGGAGCCCGATGCTCGGATGGTGATGGGGTTGCTGACACCCGTCAGCTTCCCACAGCCTGGGGGTGGGGACCGACAGAGTTTGGGGTTAGGGGGTGGGCATCTGGCACCATGACACTGCCCACCTCCCCGCGGTCCCGTGAGCATCATGCTCCAAGCGGAGAGGAACCAGGGCTCCCCTTCACCCCAGGGACCCCCCAGGAGTCTTGGGGGGATGGGGCAGCAGGATGGAAGGCACTGCTGGGCGCCGGCAGCTATTCCTGAGCAAGGAAATGCGGCTCCTGCACGGGGTCCGGGGCCCAGCTGCACCAGCAAACACCCCGTCGGCGCATACTGGAGGATGCTGGGCTGCCAGTATTATTATTATTCGGAAGATATCAGCAGTGCAGCAAAACAGGAGGCCCCGCACATGGGCAGAGCGCACGGCAGCTGCACGCGGCGGCGGCCCGTGCTTTCCACAC